CGCTGGTTCGATTCCCGGTCAGGACACACGCCCGCATTGCGGGTTCGGTCCCCAGTAGGGGGCGTGCAGGAGGCCGCTGATGTTTCTCACTCATGGACGTTCTCTCCCTCTCTCCCTCTCCCTTCCTCTCTAAAATCAATGAAGACAAATATTTTAAAAAATGAAAATAAAATAGCATGCCTGGCACTCTTGATTTCTCGTCACTCGATTTATTCCTGTCTATCACTCTCACCACCTATTTTATGCTTATTTTACTTTTATTTTTTATTTTTTATTTTTTTATCCTCACCCGAGGACATTTTTCCATTTTTTCTTCAGATACAGTGGGAGGGAGGAAGAGGAAGAGAGAGAGAGAGAAACATCGACACATCAAGTGGCTGCCACCCACATGACCCAACCAGGGCCGGAGACAAACTGCAACTGAGGTACATTCCCTTAGCGGGAACTGAACCCAGGTCTCTCTGGACTGCAGGCCAACGCTCTAACCACTGAACCAAACCGACCTGGGCTGCTTATTTTACTTTTTTTTTTTTTTGTTTTTTTTTTTTTATCCTCACCCGAGGATATTTTTCCATTTTTTGTACAGATAGAGTAGGAGGGAGAGAGAGGAAGGGAGAGAGAGAGAGAAACATCGATGTGAAGGGACACATCGAGTGGCTGCCACCCGCACGACCAACCAGGGCCGGGGACAAACTGCAACCGAAGTACGTGCCCTTAGCGGGAACCGAACCCGGGTCTCTCTGGACTGCAGGCCAACGCTCTAACCACTGAACCAAACCGACCTGGGCTGCTTATTTTACTTTTAAAAATGTGCTTCGTCCAGCCGGTGGGGCTCAGTGGTCGAGCAACGACCCATGCACCAAGAGGTCACCAGTTTGATTCCCGGCCAGGACACATGCCCAGGTTGTGGGCCCATCCCCAGTGGGGGGCACGCAGGAGGCAGCCAGTCAATGTTCTCTCTCATCGATGTTTCTCTCTCTCTCTCCCCCTTCCTCTCCCTCTAAAATCAATAAAGGAAAAAAATTTTTTTAGATGTCCTTCCTCTACAGAATGTAAGCTCCTTGAGGACAGGGATTTGTCTGTTTTGTTCATTTACTGTAGTTCCTCTTTGGCATATGCTGAATGGATACCCCCAAGTACCCCCTGTGTAATGGAAGGAAGTGGTGAGGAGTGGCCATCCCTGAGCTGTGCATACCCTGGAGTTCTCCCCACTCCCAGAGGAGCCCCAGGAGGTACTGTGGGGGTCAGTGTGGCTGATGTGTGCCCGTTGTGTTTAACTGGCATGACCTCCTCGCCTCCCCCAGCACCTCCGTGCAGGGATGCTAATAACTGCACTAGTGGCTGAGCGATGTCACCGTGGTGCATTCTGGGACTGGCCATGTGGTTTATACACACTTGAGTTGCTTTGAATGCAAACCTGACATCACACTGAAGGCAGCAGCGAACAGCATGTGCACAGTAAACAGGCAGAGACTGTCTTATTGATTAACAGATGAGGCCTCTATTATCGATCAAAGCTTGGCGAGGAAATTTATCACTTTTAATTTCAGGGATGCCAAATATTTCTGCCTCTGAGCCAGCCGTTACAGACACAATTCAAAGGCACACGGCTCCTCGGGAGAGGGGTTTCTGCCTCTCTCTCTGCTGGCTTTTGTGTCCTGGGACTGCCTGTCTTCGCTGTGGGGCTCACCCTGGAGGGGTGGGGGTGTACGGGGCCTCATGAATGGGAGCGGAAGTCCGTGGTGTCCACGTGTGATGGAGGTTCAGACCGGGGTGACTGAGGGCAGGGCCTTTCACACACTCAGCTCGATGTTGTGACTTCAGTGGGTGGGCGCAGAGGGGAGGACTTTGTGGACCGCCAGATGCGGCCAGGCGTGGGCCATGCCCGCGGCCTTGCCCAGATAGTGTGTGCTGCTGTTTTATCTGATGTGCACTCATCTGATGGTGCACATCCGGCCCTTCATCTTCGGTCTGCCTCCTTCCTTTCTGTCCGCGGCTCACCATTAACGCAGCGCTCAGCTGCCACATCCTCGCCTGCCTTCTAGGAGCGCTCCCACCACGTCCTCTGACGCGGAGCCTCAGGCCTGTCACCCCGTGGCGGGCTCCCAGGACACCTCCCCTGTCGTCCCCACTTCCCTCCTCAGGCCGTCCTCCCCCTTTCTTCTAGAGGGAGCCAGGAAAAGAAAGAAATACAATTAAAATCAGATCCCTTACAGACGCACAGAAAATCATTGCTGGCTAATGATTTGGGGCTGGGGGAGCTTCTCTGTGTGGAGGGCGGAGCTCCCCCGCCCCAGCCCTGCGGCGCTGGCCCTGTTTGCTCCGAGGCTCCTGCTGCATTTCCGGGATCAGTGGATGGAAGGTGGTCCTGGCTGTCCCGGTATGACACGGAGCCACTGCTTGGACATCACGCGTCTTGGCTTCTCCAGATCTCTGGAAGCCCCACAGGTCCTCGGGCCCAGGGGACCCTGCAGTTGAAGGGAAACCCGGAGGGATCATGCTGTTCTCCCTGCCTCCAGGCAGAAGCCAGCTGCAGCCGCCGAGAACAAATGACAATATTAGCTTTTAAAGTACTCAAGGAAAGTGATTTCATTTCTTTCCCGGGCACTGATCACTCATTCATCCCGTCAGCCAACTAGTATTCACTGGGCACCTGCTAAAGGTATGTCCATGGCTCCTCGTTAGGAACGTAGACAAGGTCAGTGCCCTCGCCGGGCCTGGCGTTCTAGATCCCCTCTAGGTCCTAATGCCCGTTACTGGCAAGGGCTGTTCGTTGGTGTTGAATCGAAGACTGTGATGGTACAGCTTCCATGCTGAGCTCTAGTCCTGAAGGGAGCGCTGATAGACCAAGGCAGGGGTTTTAAACGTAACGAGTAGTGGAACCAGTTTTCCGAATAGAGTTTCGCACAAGACCTTGATGTCTACGAGGGGTATGTTGGATTTTCCCTGTTTTTGATTTGAGAGAAGGCAGCCCAGAGCTCACCTTATCCATGAGGTACCTTCGCTGATGGACCCCGGGCAGGCTGAGGGGTACCGGGTGAAGAGCAAAGGCCCGGAGTCAGGCTGCCCGCGTTGACTCCTCCTCCGCTGTGACCCACCGAGTAACACCGGGCAAGCTGCTGAACCTGTCTGAGCTCGGGTCTTCTCGTGTGCGAATGGGAGTGATACTGCATGTGCTTTCAAAGGTTTCTAGGATCAAATGGAATGATATCTCCTCAATACTTAGCATTCTGGAGTGTATGGTAAAGTTTTAGGAAACCCGAGATGCTTTGAAAACAGCACTAGACTGTTTCCTACTACATATGCGTAAGAAGTGATTCTGCCTCTGATAAACTCTGGTCCAAAGGAAAACACAGGTGCACTTGGAGAGGCGCTAAGACGTGCTGGAAGGAACAGGGCAGAGCAGTGAGGGCTGGGGTCCTTGGTGCATGCGTATTCCAGTTGGGGAATAGAATGAGACTGGGGCAGACCGCGGAATGAGACCGGGCATTACCTGAGCCAGAGACCCAGGGAGGGCCGAGCGGGGCTCACAGAGGGCCAGCGAGGACCCCTCTCTACGGAGCTGGACTGGGTCAGGTTATGGAAGACCTTGAAGCCAAGTAGAGGAGTTTAGGATCGGTGCACACTGAGCCGTTGTCCCTTCTTGAGCAAGGAAGTGTGGGCAAAGGCCCCGCCTTCAAGGGCCCCGCATCTGTCGCCGGATCAGAGGGCAGCTGGTGGTGGTGACTACCCTTGAGTCTTCCGGTGTCCCGGGCATGACCCCACAAGGGCCTGGGTGGGGACAGCGATTACTGATGTGCAGGGGAAGAGATGCATCTAGAAGGCATTTTGGGGAGAGAACGGCCAAGGCTTAACAACAGGTGCTCCCTGGATGAGATAACATATTAGAGCCCCGCAGACTATTAGCAAGTGGTAAAAAGTCCTGTTTATCTTGACCTTGTAACTTTGTCGCTTTGAGCCCTGTAAATAACGGTTCTAAAAAAGTTTACCAAATTGAATTGCACGAATTGATTAGTTTATTCCACAACTGTGTACAGTAATAGGTTCCCACTGGGGGTCAGGCCGGTGCAGCTGAGTGTGAGGTGACGCTCTCCCCATACTCCCTCCGGTGGGAGCGCACAGTGTGACCGGAGACCAGACTGGTGCGCAGGCATCTGTAAGCAGCATGGTGTGGCTGCCACCTGGGGTTGCTGGGGGCTATGGGCGCACAAAGGGCTCCCTCCCCCGGACAGTGGGGCACGGGTGAGGAAGCTGATGGGCAAATCCTGAGCAGAGGCTGTACTGTGGGGCAGGGAGAGGGGCCGGAATGGCAGAGACAGGGGGGCACAGAGGCTGTGCAGAAACCGTGGGGTGCGGAAGGACAGGGCTCCGCCAGGGAACCAGGGCAGCTCGGGGGCGCAGACCAGAGAGCAAGAGTGAGGAAGGAGAGACCGGGCAGGAGAGCTGAGCACATCAAGAAGCGTTTCTGAGTCATCGCGAGGAGTTTGGACGCGTTCAGATGTTTTGAAAGGTCGGCGGAAGGAGGTGGCTGGATAAACTGTGGGTTTAGTTTTGGACACACGGAGTTAGGGATTTCTCCAAGTAGAGGTGTGTCAGGAATTCCTGTTTTCCCGTAAAGTATAATCTGGGCAGCAGAGCGTGTTCCCCCTCCTATCCTTCACCCCTTCACTGCTGTCCACCCTTCGCCCAGGGCCAGACCCCGAAGCCCTTCTTACTGGGGCGTCTCATCCAGAGCCCGGCTCTGTGTTATTCTGATTTTGTTCCCTCTTCTCTCTGGGAGGGCCCTAGATGGGGGCGTTCGGAGTTCATTTGGGTGGGTAGTCACATCTTGGAGGAGGGTCTGGTCTGAGCTGGTTGCTAGGGCCATGGATTCTCCCCGACTCCCGTCATAGGTGTCCATCGACCTTGCCAGTGCCCACCTGCATGGGTTTGGCCCAGGGCCCCACCTCCTAATGGAGCATCATTCTTGGAAATAAGTAACCGCCTCCCCTTTCTTTCAGCGGGTGCCAAAGCCTTTGTGTGTGATCAGTGCGGTGCCCAGTTTTCAAAGGAGGATGCCCTGGAGACCCACAGGCAGACCCACACTGGTGAGTCGACTTTGATCCCCCTGCTCCGGGTCCCCCACAGGTGGTAGCACGTGGACACGAGGTATCTCCGCAGCAGCACCCTTTCGGTAGTGACACCCACTCATTTCCTGTGGGAGCTGTGAGTGGGGCTGGCTGGGCAGGTGCGACTTGGCCCCCTAAGAACAGTTGCCCCAGATTAGGTCAAGATCTGTCTCTAACAGGCCACGGAGCGCCTGTCTTCACAGAGCCCTCCAAACTCTCGTCGAGGCCTCAGAAAGTCCGTGAGTGTCCAAGCACCCCTTCCCTCTGCAGGCCAGGAAGCGTGCACCCCGTATAACTGGCCCCGCATGCTCATATGGCCACAGGGGCTGGCCGTCGCTCTGCAAGGGCAGAGTCATGGTCTGAAAGAAAGCAGTCTGTACACACGGCGTGTTCGAACAGTGTTAACAAGCAGCGGTCTCACTTTATTTGATTTCCAAGCATTGATTTCACCATCAGCAGCGTCTCACCGTTGCAGTCGGCAGCGTGTCGCGTGGGTGGACCTCACGCTGACGGGTGCTCCCGACATGGTGGGCACGGCTCTCAGCATTTTTCCTGATCTCATGTGGACAGTCTCTCAGTAAACTCTGTAGGTAGGAGGTGGCTCCCATGTCCTGGGCTCAGAGGGCAGAGAGGGACTTGCCGATGTGAGTGGTGAACATGGGAAGGGTATGGCTTGGACGACTGGGTCTGGCCCTGCTCTGCCATGCTGTCTGCGGGACCGTGCATGAGTTACTGACACTCTCTTTATTCGGGTTTCCTCATCTGTAGGAAAGTGGAGTCATAATAGTACCTACCTCAAAGCACAGAGTATTGTAGGGATTAAATAAGATTTTATTTGAAGAGCTTTGCAGAGGGTTTGGCTCATAGTCACCATTCAATGCATAGTAGTAGATGTATTTAATTTAATAAAAACTTATTGAGCTTCTACAACGTTCCAGCACAGTTGGCCAACTAAGATGTGGTAGCAACCAAGACAGCATCCTCATGGAGCTGGGGCTCTCGTAGGGAGGTAAGTGGACAGCATAACGCCAGGCTATAGAAGTGCTGGCGAGAGCAGATAGAGCCGGATAAGGCGTGGGGAGTGATGGGAGAGGGAGCATTCTAGAGCAGACGGCGAGGGACAGCGTCTCCGAGAAGGTGACATCTGAGCTGAGTCCTGGAGCAAGCCATGTGACGTTTTCAAATATTTGCAGATCACGCATCTGATCAGACACTTGTAAAATAATACAAAGAACTCTTATGACTCAATAATAAAATACAAATACCCAAAATAAAAAAAAATAGGGACAGGATCTGAATAGACATTTCTCCAAAAAGAGATGAACAGTGAGCACATGGAGTGATGCTTGACATAAGCCACCAGGAAATACAAATAGAATCCCAGTGAGATATTTCTTCCCACCCATTAGGATGTGGCTATAATAAAAATACAGACAGAGATGGCCGGCCGGTGTGGCTCAGTGGATTGAGCGCCGTCCCATGGACTGAGAGGCCCAGTTCGATTCCCGGTCAGGGCACATGCCTGGGGTGGGGTCGTGCAGGAGGTAGCCAATGGATGTTTCTCTCTCACATTGATGTTTCTATCGCTCTCTCTAAAATATCAATAAAAAGCATATTAAAAAAATAAAGACAGTAAGAAGTTTCGAGAGGATGTGGACACATCAGAACCCCACACACTGCTGATGGAAATAAAGCAAAATGGTGCAGCCCCTTTGGGAAAGAGTCTGGCAGTTCCTCAGAGAGTTAAACAAAGTTGCCACGTGACAGAGCTGTGCCGTCCTAGGTAGGTACCCGAGAAAAATGAAAACACACGTACATCATCACGAAAACTTGTGCATGAATGTTTATAGCAGCATTATTCATACGAACTAGAGGGTGGAGATAACCCAGTGCCTGCCCGCTGCTGAGGGGTAACAACAGCGAGTGTCTCCATTCAGTGGGATAGTATTCAGCTGTGAGAAGGAATGAGGTCCTGATACATTCTGCAACATAGATGAACCTTAAAAATGTTATGCTCTGTGAAAGAAGCCAAACACAGAAGGCCACAGGGTGTCTGATTTCATTTATAAGAAACATCCAGAAGAGGCAAATCCACAGAGACAGAAAGTAAACAGAGTGTGCCAGGACCATGGAGACTTGGGGGGAAGTTGGGGCTATGCTAATAGGTACAGGGGTGCATTCTTAAGGGAAGAAAATGTTCTAAAATTAGTTGTGGCAATGGTTACAAAACTCTGACTATATTAGAAACTGTTTAACTGTATGCAGTCCCGCTGAACAACGTGGTTTTGAACAGTGTGTGTCCACTTCTATTCAGATTTTTTTCGGTAAATAGCTGTACTATTCTTGATCTGTAGTTGGGAGTCCGTGGATGTGTGCATTGATCTGTGCCATTTTATGTAGGGGATTTGAAGATCCACAGATTCTGGTGTCTATGAGGGGTTATGGAACCAATCCCTATGGATGCTGAGGGACAATAAAGTTTTGGGGAAGTGAAAAGTCATACACAGATTTTCAACTGCATGGGAGGTCAGCACCCCTACTCCCCGCACCGGTCAAAGATTAACTGTACTTTAAGAGCATGAATTGTACATTGTGTGGTACATGAATTATATCTCGGCAAAGCTGCACACACTCACACGTGCACACACATTCCTTGAGAAGGGGAAATAGCTCATTTTGGGGTTTTGAATGGCAGCATGACATGACTCAATTTCTGTATGTAAAACATCACCTGGCTCTGTGTTGATAATTGGCCACAGGAGTGTTTCGGTTAGCACTTGACTACTCAGCCGAGCAGTTTCACCTGGGGTCTCACAGGATTGCAGTCGGGCGTCCCTGGCCAAGTCCGGTGAGTCACCTGCAGACTCGACTGGGCCGGGTGTCCGAGACGGCCTCCGCAGCCCCCGGGGCACTCTCCTCGCTGCCCCGCGTGCTGTCTCTGCAGCAGAGTAGCCTGGACGTCTCTTGGCAGCGCCCGGCCCCCCAGCAGGAAGCAGAACCTGCCAGCCCTCTTGAAAGCTGGGCTGTGAACACACAGCATCGGTTCCTCCTTGTATTTTTTTTTTTAATATTTTTATTGATTTTTTTTTTAGAGAGAGAGGATGGGAGAGAGAGAAACATCAATGTGAGAGATACATTGATCAGCTGCCTCCTGCACGCTCCCTACTGGGGATCGAGCCCACAACCCCGGGCATGTGCCTTGACTGGGAATCGAACTGGGACCTCTCAGTCCGTGGGACGATGCTCCATCCACTGAGCCACACCGACTGGGCCATATTTTATGGATCAAAGCAGACACAGGTGAGCCCCAGATTCAGGGGTGGAGACTAGAGTCCCCTTCTCAGAAGGATGACAAACAGGGAACGAGGAATTGACGACGGTCATCTTTGGCGTCCAGCTGCTAAGTGAGCCCAGGGGACTGTGGTGGAAGAAGGCAGACCAGTGAGCTGCCGCTATTGGAACTGCCGTCCTAAGTATTTCCTTGCTGCCTCCTCGCAGAATCTGTCTCTCCTGGAGCTGGTGCTGTGAGCTTTGGACCCACGCGGCCCTGGCGGTAGGCGGAGAGCCTTCTAGGCGAGCTGTTATTTGTCAGCACCTGCCTGGCTCCGTGGCAGAGGAAGCGACTTGGCCAGATGATTTTCTCAGGGTTCCAGAGCTGGCTATCTCAAAAGGCAGGGAAGATCCAGGTCTCCCAAGGTCTCGGCCAGTTTCTAGACCTCGTGTAGCCGAGAACCCCACTCTGAGAAGTCCACTCTGGGGGCTGAGGAGACAGCTGTGGGCCAGCTCTGCCTTGCAGCTCACTGTGTCCACCCAGATGCACGGCAGCAAGGAGCAAGCTGCCCCCGCAGCCGGCGCTGGGGAGAGGCGTGGTCCCTGCGGGAGAGCAGAGGGGCATCTGTCACAGGCAGACCCCGCAGGCTTACTGCGATCTTCTGTGTGCCTGGCTCTCACTGGGGACATGGCAGTGAGCAACACAGACATACTCCTGCCCCCCCGGCCCCCCCACCTCCCCAGCAGTTTTCTTGGGATGTAATTCCCATACCGTACAGTTCCCTATTTATTGATTTTTATTTTATTGATTTTTTAGAGAGAGAGGAAGGTAGAGATAGAAACATCCATGTGAGAGAGAAACATCAACTGGCTGCCTCCTGCACGCCCCCTACTGGGGATGGAGCCCGCAACCGGGCATGTGCCCTGGTCAGGAATTGAACCAGGACCTCTCAGTCCATGGGGCGACGCACAACCCACTGAGCCACACCGGCCGGGCCAGTTCACCTGTTTAGAGGGCACGGTTCAGTGCTTTTTGGTGTATTACTCTATTAATTTTTTAAACTGTGGTAATATATATGTAACATGTAATTTGCCATTTTGACCATTTTTAAGTGTACAGTTCGGTGGTATTCATGACTTTCCGGCCTGTTTTCAGAGTTTGGGCTTTGATTCAGCTTTGAAAATCTGGACGTGTCCTAGGACCAGGGACTTTCTAGGGTTTATTACGTCACTAAGAACTTGGACGTGGTCAACACCTTCCAGAAAAGGGTGTTTCACATCTGACTGAAGGGAGCCTGGAGTTTGGGTCAGGAGCCCGGGCTGGGGGCTGTAGCTCCACTGTCTGCCTGGTGGATGAGTAACCTGGGCTCGCCACGGCCCTGTCTGCCCTCCAAGCCCCCTCTCCTGCAGGAGCACTGCACTGACCCCTCCCGCAGCGCAGGCAGGGCCCAGCCCGTCCAGCCTGCCTCCGCTTCGTCCCCAGGCTGAGCACGTGGGCCTCTCGAAGGGGAGAGGACTAGAAACACTGAATCCCAGTTCTGAGACCAAGGTGGGTGCCTCGGGCAAGGCTTCCTCCCAGCCTGGGGTGAGCTCGGGGCGAGCTGCCGGCGTGCGGAGCACCTGCTGGTGCCGGCAGAGTGCACTCTGCTGGGCACAGGCGTGCTAGCAGCCTCAGCCTCAGCGTAGGCTTGGCAGCCAGGTGGCTCTTC